GACTTTATTTAATGTGTTGATTTCCAATGGCCCATCTTAAATTACAGGCAATACTAAGGGTGGTAAAACGGATTGTGGCCCGTCAGGCCGGCTCGCACACCCGCCAAAAAATGGCGGGTTGGGTTGGGATTTTGGGCCCTCCGCCCACCAAAGCCCGTCCCGCCAATACCCGCCGCCCGCGAAAGCCTGCCGCACCTATTTGTTCAGCTTATCCCACCTTAAACTCATCCTTTTTTAGTTAATTCTAGTAATTAAAATTCTTAATGGTTTTATTTTATACATTTATTTCAAAATATATGCAATATTTTTTAAAGTAAAATTTGTTAAAAAATGTTTTACAAAATTGTTCTAAAAAATAAGTGAAAAATCTAATTAAAATGTATAAACAAACCTATTAATCTATTAAAAAATAAAATAAATATATAAGTAAGCGGGCAAGCCCGCCAACCCGCCACCTTGGCGGGGCGAGTTAGATTTTTATGTCTATTTCCACTTGGCGGGTCCCGCCTTTTTTTGGCGGACTTAAGGGCGGGCGGCCCATTTTACCACCCCTAACCAATACAAAATTGCATGCTAAACTTTACCATCACTATTTAATTGCTTTTTATGTTCCAAATTTAAATCAAATTAATTTTACAATGTTGCAATGTTAAAATAATAAATATACAAATGACACAATTTATTATATAATATAAATTTTTAGTTATACCAAAAAAATATCAACTTTATTTTTTATTCAAATATTTTTATAAACCGTGTGTCAAAACAAAATTAATATTTATATACTAGAATAAATACATCGCTATTTACAATATTTTTATACAGGGGATCAAATATTATTGTTATAAACGGGAACGACTTTACTATTTTTTAAAATATTTTTATAAATATTGTCAAATAAAAAATAATGTTGAAATTCAAAAAAAATTTATACACGGAAATAACTTTATTATTGATTTCAAATCTATTTATAAATTGTTCATTATTATAATTTTATACGGGACAACATGATTTTTTTTATACACGGGAATAAGTTAATTTTTTTTATACACGGGAACAAAATTAATAACTCTATACAGGAAAAATATAGATTGTTCATTATAATATTTTTATATGCTGAAAAAAATAGTATTATTATAAACGGGATCAACTTTACTACTGATCCAAATTTTGAATAATATAAATTTATCTACCATTTTATTCTTTCAATTTTTTATTTTTTTTTAATTTTATAATAAATTTTAAACAGGTGCGCATAACACATCGGAACCCGTGCGAGCGCCCAAGTATCCCACTAGTTGACAAAGAACGCTTTTACATAGTTCACCACACTTCCCCCAAATTCCATTTTTACGTACGCCTAGTTAGGGAGGGCCTTTCACGAGCAATTATACACGGGGAAGTGTAAGATTAGCCTTAAGGAGTTAGTCAGCGTGAAGCGAAAGGTGGCTGAGAGCATTGATGACTACCTCAATAGTTTTAGAACCTTAAAAGCGAGATGTTTTATGTAAGTTCCAAAACACGAGCTAGTCGAACTGGCAGCAGAGGGTCTTGACTACTTCATTACAAAGAAGTTAGACACTCAATACTTGATAGATATGGCCCAGTTGGTCGATAGGGTGCGGCAAGTCAAATGATTAAAGGATGAAAAGACTAGAACTTCCAAGTTCAGTAAATAGAAAGTAGCTTATGTCAAAGTCGACAACATGGAAGATTCATCTGACTCAGAATATGAGTGTGCGGAAGAAAATGGGGTCAACATGGCCGAACTAAAGCCCGAACCTCCTTATACATGCAAGTTGTTAAGACCCTCAAACGAGAAGAATCCCGTAGAGCCCAAACAAAAAGTTTGTGGCAAAAATGTATACCTTTGACGTCACCAAGTGTGACGAGATATTTGATATGTTGGTTACTGGCGGACAAATAGTTGTTCCTAAAGGGACTAAAGTCCAACCATTGAAATAAAGAAAGAAAAAAGCTTTTGTAAATTTCATATTTTTTTGGGTCATAACACCTCTCAATATGTACTTTTCAGGGACCTGGTCCAAAATGCTCTCAAAGATGGCAGACTCAAGTTTGTTGACAAACAAAAATCACGCCCAGAAGGGGAGATTGAAATAAAAGTTGAAGCTCTCTTTGTCGATTAGGTAGATATCATGGTCGTCGACACGCTCGACCACGCTGGGGCTGAAGATGGCAAGCCAAGCCCCGAGGATCAACTTGCAAAGGCTTACCCTAAAGATGAAGAGGAGTTGGTTGGTTTTCTGAAACATTGTAGGTTGAAAAAATCAGAGGTGATGATATGTCCCATATGTAGTTCTGTGTTCGACAAAGAAGTTGCAAAAAAGATGGAGAGGGCAAGTCCTTACTAAGTCAAGAAGTTTGTCCGACAAGATGAATCCAATGAACCTTTCTCCAACAAAGGAAAGGGTCCAGCAAATATCCATGGCAAGATTTATATACCTGCTACAGATGTACATACCAGAGAATGGGTACACCCTGCTCGAAAACCAGAAATTGGTGGGGGCAAGTGGAAGGTTGTTAATGTTGACTCTGCCTCCTCATACAAAGACATTTCTCAAGCATCAAAGAAATACTCCTACATCTTGCAAAACTACATGGGAAAAACCCCATGACTAGATCTCAGTGGAGGAGACATCAGAGAAACAAAAAAGTTGCATGAGAAGATGGAAGCTTCAGCGAAAGCGATAACGCTCGATCCGTCGATGAAGGCCAAAACAGTCGACGTCTAGTCAAGCAAAGGTTGTTTCCCTCTCTATCACCCATAAAAGAGGAGAAAGCAATGAATGACAAAACAATCGAATATGCTGATATAAAGACGGACAACTTTGATCCAAAATCTGAGTCGGTGTTAGATATCATCTATAAAATGATATATGTGTTACCTTTAGAGTATGACATAATACTAGAGGTGATTGAAAAAGAGGGCCTCGATGAAGAACTGGCCACTCACAAGACTTTGTGCTATTATGCAGTGAATGATGGCTCAGTGAATGAAGACCGCACAATTTTTGAAAGGCTAGACATGGCCATGCAACAACACCTGAAGCCTTTGTACATAAGGGTCAAGGTAAATGGCGTGGGGATCAACAGGGTCCTGATTAATTGTGGAGCATGTGTTAATGTTATGCCCCAGTCTCTTTTGGGAAAATTAGACGAATTCACCACAGATTTAGCCTGCAATAACATGGTATTGTTCAACTATGAGAGTAAAACCAGCAAACCCTTAGGGGTCATCCAAATCGATGTAGTGGTTGGAACCACCATAAGGCCAACCTTATTTGTTGTGGTATTGACCAAAGTAAACTAAAATTTGTTATTAGGCAAATAATGGATGCATAGAGTAGGATGTGTACCCTCATCGATGCACCAGAGGATCACCATCTGGAAGCCTGATGGGATTGTTGAAACCATCGAAGCAGATCAAAATTTTTTTAGAGCAGATGTCAATCACATCAGCAAGCTCAACTTTAACTAAAAGCTGACAAACATTTTGCTGTGTAGATCTGCCGGGGAAGGATATAATTTCAAAGGACGAGAGGTATCTTACACAGTGAACCTACACCACTAATATGGGTTTACCCGAGAGTACGAAATCGTTATAGGTTATAACCGATGGTCTGAATCGGATGGAGATCGTGATAGGGTCAGACGCACTGGCTAGAATTTCGGCCTAAGTGGCTGAAAACAAAATACTGACGGCCTTGGAGGCTGAGTCTCAATAAATACTGGTTGTTGAAGCCATTAAGCTTGAGAATGCTTGGGCATATCAATTTGGCTTTACCGGGCAAATAATAGCTTCAGAAATTTGGAGGCTAGATTGCATCTATGATGTTGAGCCTTTAGGGTTTGGAAAAGACCCAACAACCTCGACCAAGAAAATTCAAGCACATGACCTGAAAGCGGAATAGATCGACTTGGGAGATGGGATGACAAAAAGGCTGACGTACATTAACGCTAAAATTGACCCAACCTAAAAGCGGAAGTAATCAAGGTACTAAAGAAGTTCAAAAATTTCGATGAGATACTTGAGCTCAGCCGTAATCTAGTTGAACTAAAGTAGCCTATCAAACCCGATAAGAAGCCAATGAAGCAGATCCCACAAAGGTATCCAATAAAAAATATCCAACCTATAAAAGTCAGATGAATTGACGACTGCTCCAATGACTTGTACACAATTATCAATTTAATTGATTAAACTAAGTATAATTATCAATTCAATTGACTAGCCACCGACAATTCAATTATATTTTTTTGAAAGATAAGTATTTTAAAAAACTAATATAGAAATAATGATTATTTGAGGAATTTTATTACAAAAGTAGGTTTTTGTAGAAATAAAAAACGGAAATACTACTCCACTTATTAATTAAGATTAAGTTAAATTATTAATTAGGAATTCACTATCTTTTTGTACCGAGAAAGATAAAGTAGGGTTTGTTATCCGTAAGTTGGTACGAAGATATTTTCATATAACAAAAAATATAAAAAATATAAAAAGTTAAATAAAAAGTAGGGTCAGCCACCAAAGAAGCTCCACACGAAGTATATAAATAGCGTATTAGGCAAAAATAGAGCAATACATTGCGTTACTCACAATTATCGTTCATTCAAATACCCGGCGGAGAGAGAAAGCGAATTTGTTCTTCTTTTCCATTCACAAATTCTGTGAATCCACCACCACATGCAGAAATCGTCGAATCTCCGACGATCTTTCGGTGGATACACTTCGATCTTCATCATTCTCGTAAACCAAATCTAACTTACCTTATGATATTGTTTGAGAAGCTAAGTTTCTCTTCTTATCTTAGCCGCTTTATTGCCGGCATCCTTCTTTTGATTTTCTGTAATTCCTTTCAATTGGTTTCGAATTTCCCTAATCCTATACACCCTTTTTGAATCATCCACTTTCATTCTTTCGATTTCGATTTCAATTCAACCTTCATTCGTTCATTCCCTCACATTGTTAATTCAACTTCATGGACCCGAAACTCTTTTTTCCGAACAATTTCATCGATGGTTAGTTTTTCTCTACTTTTCCCCTTTTTCAATTTTATGGGTTTTATTTTTAAAAAGTTGTTTTTTTCCCCTCTGATTTTATTGGTTTATGTTTGTAATTTAGGAATTTGTTTGTTTTTTATATTAATTTGTTGAAGTGAATCTGATTAGGTTTTAAGACCTGATTTTGTATGATTTTGGAATAATTGAGGTGTTAATTGTGGTATAAAGTAGGTGAAAATGATATATTTATAATAAATTGAATTGAACTAGTAGTTTCTAATGGGATATTTTAGTGTTTGTTTTATTGATGTAGCTGACCTCATCTAGTGGGACAAGACTTTTTTGTTGCTGTTGACTTGTATTATTACTTCTACTAGTATCAAATCAAGGGACTGTTTATGATTCATGTTTATAATTTATTATTATTGGAGTAGTTGTTTATTGCTGGATTTTTATAATATTGATCTGGAATCTGGATGGTGCTGATTTTTTCACCTTAAGATTTGGATATTCTGTTTTATTTTTCTGAGCTCATGAGTGCTGAATGATTGAGTTGGATGTTTTATTATTTATAAGGATTTGATATTTTAATTGGAATAGACAGAACTCTGCCAACTGACACTCTGTTGTTTTTGTCTTTTGGTCAAAGCAATGAGATATATTTTTTTTCTTCACATGGTCATGTTACATGTTACACCTTCTGTTTCTATTCTTAATTTGTATCTAATGATATGTCCTAAAATTTGATTCTGGGAGCACTGAAAAATAAATTATTGTTTTCAATTCAAATATGTGTATTATTAGTATTACCCTTTTTAAATAAAAAAATTAGGTTATACATCTTTTTACTCTAAACTTGTTCTTAGCGTTCGTTTGGTGTTGCGTTACTTCTCTCAAACGCACGGTGGGTTTCTATGTTGATGTAGAAGCTTGCTTTTGTTGCTTCTGCAAATCACAGAAAATATGCCATTGAGATTGTAGGAGAAAACGCAGAACCAAACATGCCATGAGGAGGCTTCCATTTCACCTAAACTGACTTATTCTTCTGAATTAGATAAAATTGCATGGATGTGAGGTTTTGAAATTGAGTTGGTTCCAATGTTGAGCACATAGCACAAGTATATTTAAGAAGTGTTTTCTTTCATGATATATAATGGGATGGGATTTTTTATTGGATTTGCAACTGTTGACACTTGTACCATTAGTGTTTAGTTATTTCTGTAGCTTTGGTTTTGTATATTGAACAACAGGGGAGAGGTTTTTCATTTTACAGTTTGTCTTTTTCTTAGTGTGTGCGGATTGTCCCCCTTCTGATTTTGTGTATAATGGTCAGGCACTATTACATCACTCATTGATGGCCAACAAAGACCTGTTCCGTCAGTTATAGTTATTGGTGCTGGAATATCCGGGATTGCTGCAGCACGCATTCTCCACGATGCATCTTTTAAGGTGTCATATTGTTATGATCAGCCTTCCTCTTTATTTAATCTTTCTATTTTCCGGAATTGTGTCAATGGAAATATTTTCTCTTGCTTTCTGTAATTTGGTTTCATCATTTGATCAGGTCACCCTATTAGAGTCACGAGATAGGCTCGGTGGCCGCATTCATACCGACTACTCGTTCGGTTGTCCAGTTGACATGGGAGCCTCATGGTAAATTCTGTTTGCTCTGTTGAATTTGTTGTTATTGCACAGATAGATGAAATGAGCAGAATTTGTTTACTGTATTCACGAACTTAGGAGTTAGTGGAATGAGTAGGAAATTAATATGATTATTTCTTTGTCGAGTACTTTTCAGGCTACATGGAGTTTGTAATGAGAATCCTTTGGCTCCATTGATACGTTGCCTTGGGCTTACACTGTATCGTACCAGTGGTGACGACTCTGTCTTATACGACCATGATTTGGAAAGGTAATAATCTATCACTTATCTGCAATTCCATTACACTTTTGCATTTGAAGGTTTATAATGCGATTTTTTAAATAAATAATATTTCCATTGACCTGTTTATGATTTACTGTTATGTTCAAAAAATTAAAACTACTTGATCTTTTGCAATTCCACTAGTAGTTTTTCATAGTAACTGCATTTTGTGTTTCCAGCTGTATGCTTTTTGACATTGATGGCAATAAAGTTCAACAACAGACGGTCATTGAAGTTGGAGAAACTTTCAAGAGAATTCTGGAAGAGGTAAGATGCATAGTTATTAGAATTTTTACAATTCACAACTAGAATCACTTGGTTTGGTATGAGTTGATAACAATTAAAATCATTCGATGAATCACAAATGGCTTTGATTGTTTAGTTTTATTTACAAACTATGAATCAGTGCTATCTGTATCACAATAAGAATATGAATTATATGATTTGACGTCTTGTAGTTTTATTATCTTTCATACTTCTCTTTAAGCAATTCTCGTCAAAGATATTGAAAACGCAAATAAGATTACATTGTTAAATGAAAAACAAAACTAAAGGGTTGCTGTTAAATGTGCTTAATTATTAATTGCTTTATATAGCCATTAATTCACTTGCTCATATATGCGCGACATACAATTATTTGCATGACACACTTGTTTGATTATATCCTTACTCTTTTTTTCATAACTGCAGACGGGTAAAGTGAGGGATGAGAATCCTGAGGACATTTCAGTTTCTGAAGCCATTTCAATTGTGCTGGATAGGCATCCAGAACTAAGGTATTTGATTAAGAAAAATATAGCTGTACAAGCATTGAGGCTTGATTTTCGAATTTATTAGTGTAATTGACAATGTTCACTACAGGAAACAAGGACTTGCACATGAAGTGCTACAATGGTTTATATGCAGAATGGAAGCTTGGTTTGCTGCTGATGCAGATATGATTTCACTTAAAAGCTGGGATCAGGCAAGTGCCACTGTACTAGTTCAAGTATAGAAAATTTCCTTTAGGCCCTCTTTGTGAGTTTGGAGGGAAGGGAAAATGAGGGATTTCGGGGGAGGGGAGTAGAGTGAAAAATAGATAAATCTTTCACATACTTTTGAGATAGTGCTTTTGTAGATAATGATAAATGAATGCGTATCATTAATATAGACTGAATTTGAAAGATTTATCTAAACCCTCTAAAACCTTCCGTCAATGAATTTTGAGTTCATTAATATAGTGCTTTAGGCCCTCTTTGCCAATGTGTGGAAGATTAACTCATTACTCAGCGTCTGTTTTTTTTAAAGTATTACTATTTAATATCTGAAGTATTGCTCACATGTCTGTGGTTTCTAACTGTAGGAACATGTTCTCTCTGGTGGTCACGGACTCATGGTCCAAGGATATAATCCCGTTATAAATGCTCTTGCAAAAGACATTGATATACGCCTGAACCACAGGTATGCCTGCAAAATAATATTCATGACTTCGCTGCGTGGTCATTTTTCACAATTTATGACAAAAAATGCAATAAATAAAGAAGAAATTATATTGTTGCCATTCTTGAAGCCGCGAAAGTACCAACTTAATAAGCACTTCTCTTTTTAATTAATTAGATAAAGATAAATGTATAATTGACACAATGTTGTCTTGATCTTTTAAAATGCATAACTGTTTTTCTGGCTTAGGTTTAGCTGACTTGGTTGAATCTGAAACAATTGAAGATATGGATTTATTTGATTTATTGTTAGTTTCTAATAAGATTGCTTCCACAACTTTTAATTTACCCCCTCTTAATGGGTGGGTTAGATATTTAAGGTGCAAGGTTTTGACCCTTTTGTAAAACCTCATTGTGTAGGGTGGCCAAGATATCCAATGGCTACAATAAGGTAATGGTTACCTTGGAGGATGGCAGGAACTTTGTTGCTGATGCTGCTATCATCACTGTTCCAATTGGAGTCCTTAAAGCCAACTTAATTGAGTTTGAACCAAGACTTCCTGATTGGAAAGTTTCTGCAATTTCAGATCTTGGTGTAGGCAATGAAAATAAAATTGCACTAAGATTTGACAAAGTGTTTTGGCCTGACGTAGAACTTCTTGGTGTTGTTGCTCCTACCTCATATGCCTGTGGCTATTTTCTCAATCTCCATAAAGCAACAGGCCATCCAGTTCTTGTTTACATGGCAGCTGGCAGGTTTGCTTATGACCTTGAGAAACTATCTGACGAGTCAGCTGCGAATTTTGTAATGCTACAGCTTAAGAAGATGTTTCCTGATGCTTGTGAGCCAGTAAGTTAACCGAATCCTTATTCCATGCAGTCCGGAGATTCCTCACATTCATGCAATTAGTTATTCTGTACCATTTGGCTTCTCTCATGTCATGTGTGTACACATCAAACAGCAGTAACTTGACATTTTGTTATCTTTTATCAATGCAGGTTCAGTATCTTGTGTCACATTGGGGAACAGATCCAAACTCTCTTGGTTGTTACTCTTATGATTTGGTTGGAATATCAATGGACGTGTACGACAAGCTTCGTGCACCTTTAGGTAATCTATTCTTTGGCGGGGAAGCTGTAAGCTTAGACAACCAAGGATCTGTGCATGGAGCTTATTCTGCTGGAGTTATGGCTGCTGAAAACTGTCAGAAATACCTTTGGGAGAAACAAGGCAACTTAGAAAGCCTGTCTCAAGTTTCGGTTAGACCTGAAACATTAGGAACAAATTTTCCTCTTCAGATATCGAGGATATGACTTGTTTAAATTTGCTTTTGAAAATAAAAGCTTTTGTTTGTTTTAGCACTTCACAATGGCAAAGACAATGTTAAAGCCAATTGGGGAATAATAATCTGTAACTATTTTGGATAGTCATCTATTTCATATTTCAAATTTGAGTTCTTAACATAGCATATGTTTGGCATCTACTTATTCTCAAAACATCTTTTTAATCATCTCATATAAAGTTAACATTTGTTAGGTACTAACAAATGTTAATATTAAACATGAGTCCTCATGTCGAATTTATATTTAAGAATAACATTTAAAAAGAAATCAATATTAGTAGAAGAGATGTTTTGAATATTTTGATCCTATGAAAAATATTCCGAACCAATGTCTATAGATAATGGGATACACTAACACCTCTTTTTGGTGAGTCTTGTAGCATTATTATTATTCACCTTATCTTTAAATAATCTAAGAAACCAATGAGTTAATGAAGTTAAAATCTATTTATAAATTTTTTTATAGAACATAAAAATAGATTGGACCATTTGAGTTGTATAAGGCGTGGTTATAATTTCTTTATATTGATAAATTATAAATCATTATAAACATTCATAAAGTATTGATGTTATTTTTTTATTATAATTTTAAATATTTATTATTCTATTAATTTTTTTTATTTTTTATTAATTTTAAATATTTATTATTCTATATAATTTTAGTTTATGTTAATGTGACCAAATAACATATATAAGAAACGAAAAGAGTAAAGCTTATTGAGATCTAACGATACTTTTTAAAGAATCAATTATAGTATCAACAATACTGCATTTGTAATACTATTATATTTGTTAATAATTGATATTTTAAACAAATTTTTCTTTAAAGAGAAATGCGTTTAATTGTTTGATTTTTATTCTAGATCGACCACATCAACTCCGACCGACTATTAAGAAGTAGTTCTACTCATTTCAGAATCTTTCAAGTACATTCTAAACGTAAGTGTATCTAATAATTCTCCGCAAATCACGAATATATATATATATATATATATAAATAAAAGGCACCAAATTGAGGTAAGAGGTTTCAAATTCAATTTTACTTCACTCTTCGTTGGAGTGATAACCTTGCAGGTCCCCCACTCCACCGTATCTGAAGCAGCAATCCGCCATTACTGTTGTTCCTTTCCTCATTTTTGGTTCCAGAACGGAACAATGACACTGTCTGTGGGAATTGACTTCTGATTCTTACGATTTTCACGAATTCACATTTTCTCTCAAACTTCGCAATTCGTAACCACCTCAGATCACTGGAGTAAAAACATTCACATCCAAACGCGAGGATCCATCGCATCTTGATTCAGCCCAACACAATCTCAATCTTATTTCCTTATTTTCATGTATTCAATTCTTACAGTTTTTGGTGATGGCTGGATTTAAGAATAACTGATTTGCTACTGCACGCGAAGTTGTTGCCGCTGCTCTTGTAACAAACAATCATCCACCTCTTCTTCCATCGCAAAATTCTGTAGATTATGAAACGGTTGTTTTGTTGCATAAAAATCTGGTTTGAGCCTCGCAATTAGCCAGATCTATTTAAATTACTCCGATAGAGACTTGTTCCGCCTCCGACTACAAACCCTAACGCCTTGCTTGGCCTCTACTCTCTACAAGTGAACCTCGACATGCAAGGTGCTCATGAACTATTGAACAACATGTTTAACATTATTCAACAATAAAACTCATACAATATTGATGTAAGGCTTCTGCGCCTTGAGCGAAGCCTTCAGAAGGTCCCTCCCGTAAAAATACAATTCAAGAAGTCACTTCAGAAAAGACTCGTGTTTCTGTCTCGAACCAACCTGACAAGAAAAGATGAGGTCCATCGATCAAAATATTGACATAAGAGTAAGAGGCATCAAACTCCCCCCTCAAAGCCACTAGGGAGACCGAAACAGCCATGTTCTTTCCCTGCCTCAAGCAGAAACCCACCAAGAGAATGTGCAATCAAAGCATCTTTTGTCGATAAGAATCCTAAAGAGCAAGATTTTGAAATCCTTGGAGAAGCTGGCCAAGGTAGACAATTATGACGGAAAAGGAGATCCCGACGAGCATGTGCAATTCGTGAACGACATACTGAGTTATATCAGCGTCGATGATGCATTCAAGTGAAAGCTTTTTGCGTTAACCTTGGTCGAGCTGGCCCAGTTGTGGTACAACGATCTACTCGATTGAAGTATGAATTCTTGGGTAAGTTCCACGAGAAGTTTTCTGCGTATTTTACTGCCCGAAAGCGACGGTCTATAATTGAAGACGCCCTGAGTGAGATCATCCAGGAAAAGAAATAGAGCTTACGATCTTACATCAATCTATTCACACAGGTCTCAGTCGAGGTGGATGGGGGCCCAAGAAAGTCCTAAATGCTAGATTTTAAGAATGGTCCTCTGAGGGACCATCCCTTGAGACAAAAGTTAGGGAAGAAGAATATAAAATTCGTCCATGAAAGGTTAACCATGGTTGAATCTTAGATGATCCTAGAAGAAAAGTTAACCACACGTTTTGAAAATCCTTCCTCTATCGAGTCTCACTCTAATTGCTCGGCTATGAAGGAATCCCACCGACGTCGAGATGAATTTGATCGTGGTATGTTAAGGAGGTACGACAGGTACACCCCCTAACATTATATCGAGAAAATGTTTAACATGACTGTGAAAACACTGAGTTTTGAAAAGCAGGAATCCGACCTCCTTATCCCGTTAGAGAAACACTTCAGACTGATAAGCCAAAATACTGTCGCTTTCACCAGGGCCATGACCGCAACACAAGCAATTGCTTATAATTGAAGGATGCCACTGAAGGGATAATCAAGTGGGGCCGACTGTCCAAATATGTCAAGGGGGCAAGCGAGATAGAGAGAAATCTCCTAAAGATAAATTTTCCTTAAAAACCACGGAAGTTGGTGCAAGCAGAAGAAGTAATGAGGTAAGAAAAGGTAAAAACCCCTATATAAATGCTATAAATGGAGGAGTTCCCTTGGAAAATATCACCTCTAAAGGCACCATGAAGAGGAAAATCACATAAATGATGGTTGTCCACCGCATAAAAGAAAGTACATCGACAAAAGTCTCTAACCGACCTATGTTGGGATTTCGAGACTGATAGAAGATCAAAGGCATCCAAAAAGAAATTTCCCCTTGTAATCATTACTATAGTGGGGTAATTTGACATATCCAAGATCCTTATTAACGATAGTAGCTCTTGTGACATCATGTATTTGGAGTTGTTCGAGAAAATGAGGTTGTACTGAAGCAGTTTGTTACCATATGAAGGCTCTGATATTCAGGCGTTCAATGGAACCACCACTCATTCCTGGGTATATGTGTAGCAAATGGTTTCAGTTTGCAATGGAAAGGATATTCGAGCAGTAAATTCTTAATTTCTTGTTTTTGCTTGTAGGAGTGTTTACAACTATATCCTAGGACGACCCTTTGCAGCTGTTGCGGTGCGAAAAATACCCGATCACATCATGTCGCTACGCGAAAAAATGCACAGAGTCGCCACTGAATTTTATTCATTCCAAGAGGAAAGGGAAAATATCTATAAAAGCCCCTAAAGGTGTAAAATATGGTCTCGTAACCAAATTTAAGTTCGAAAGTTAGTTATGTGTGGGGAAGGTATTAACACCCCCTCCCATCCATCGTATTCGATGGGAAGCATCTAAGTTGTCTAAGCTCGAATAAGTGTTCTAATTTTAAAAGATTTACTTGCTAAAGGGAAATAGATTTACTTGCCAAGGATTAAGGCCATTGTGCCTATGTATCCTCATTGTGAGGAATCAGAGTTCCGTAATTTAGAGGCTTTGAAAATGATTGTGTGTTGGTTGGTTTTATATTTTGAAAAAGGATTTTCGGGATGATGCTCTAAGACTCAGAGAGAGTTTGATGAGTTGATATTGTTTTTAGGATTTTGAAAAGAAGTTGTTCTTGATTAGGATTGTACTAAAGACTATGGGCACAGGAAAATATTTTGAACTACCAAGCTGAGCGTTTTGTGTTTAAAATACTCTGAGTGAGTGTAGGGAAGCTCCAGTCTCACTCCTTCTCCACCACTTAAGGCTCATGGCGCGCAATTCTAATTGTATTTTTAATTATGTTTTGAATTTTATTGAGAAAATGACACTTGACGTTGGATCAAGGGTTTTATTGTTTATTTAGAAAATGTTTAAAGTGATGAGAATAAGGTTGATGGCGATGCACGAAGTGATCGACTTACAAGTTGGGCATGGCTTGATATATGGATCAATAATGCTTTGCGGTTTGATCGATCCTAGTTCCTAAGGATAGATAACTAACGAAAATGAACCAAAAGAAAACAAGATAGAAAAGTAAATCAAATGGGGGAGGGATATGTTCTTGCATGGGCCCCCGCTTGACCGGACAGGCCCAGCCCAATAATATTCTGCCAAGCCCAATCCAGCTTGGGCCACAGCCGTCGAGCACAGAGTCCCCGACGAGCAGGTAGTGTCCCATCGCGGGCAGAACCTTCCTCATCTGTGTCGAGCACAAGACTTCCCCACCGACCAGACACTGCCCTCTCCGTGGGCAGAACCTGCCCCTCCGCAGGCAGAACCTGCTCCCTTGTCGGGCAGGACAACGTGTCCTTCACATGTTTTCCACGTGCCCCCTCCGCGGGGACACGTCACCGACCAACTGCCCACCTCCGAAAATGGGGAGTCTTTTCTGCTGTACTTGTGGCTGAAGTTTAACTTTTTTCTTGTCTTTGCATTTGAAATGATAGTACAAATTCAGCTGAAAAAAGTCTTGTTGCAGTAGTGACATTCTTGCTTTCCCTCCCTTCTTTTTGTATTTGAATTGTGAATGCCATGCTGGAATCATGTGGTGAATATGCTATTATGAATTTGAAATGTGATTTAATTTGAATTGGCTGAAAATTAATTTGTGGTTTATGTTTCTGTTAATTAGTTCTCTTATGAGATGCTTGTGAATTGTGATTAAATGCATATAAACTCTT